TCTCGGTGGCGAGCGACCAATCTGAGATGTTTCGAGACAATCCAAAAACTTTCTTCAAAGCCTCTTCTATATTCCGGGACGGATATCTGCTATCTAGCAGGACCGATAAAATTAAGATGTTTCGAGACGATCCAAAAACTTTCTTCAAAGCCGCTTCTATATTTCGGGACGGATATCTACTATCTAGCAGGACCGATAAAATTGTTTGCCAGATTCGGCGGACGGAGGGGATCCAGGCAAGGGGCAGCGGAGCTACACGACGTGGTCGGAATACGGCTTGTGCAAGGGCTTTGGAAGTCGCAATACAGTCGTTTACTGACCAGCCCTTTATACCTAGCCCGCAAATGCTTATCGCACCTATACGAAGTTGGCACCTACCATGTGACCAGGCTATCAGAACACACTTACCAGAACTAGTGCCAAACAAAATGTCAAAATTGTACTGCACCGGATACGGCAATCCCACGCGGGCCTCAAGTTCTTGCAGGAATCTCAGTGGGACACAGGCGCGTGTCCCGCCTCCATCAATGCACAGCACACGAACTGTTGCTGTGTCTGGTTTGAATCGAATTCGGATACCATGGCCGCCACATAAAAGGCAATTGTCCAAATGCAGAAAGACAGTTTTCTTTGTTCCAAATATTCTCATACAAATGTCACAGACCCAATGTCCGCAAGGAAGCTTGTATTTTGGTCGTCGCATCATGCAGCTATAACATGTGTTTCCGGAGTAAAGACGCCGCCAATGGGACTGAAAGCTAGTCAGCCGATTTTGATGTTGTATTGAAGCAGACCCGGTCTCAAGAAAGAGTCTGAACTGCTGTTGAAGTTCTGTTTTCATTAGCAGCACAAAAGTTGAGGGTAATACTAGATGGCTAGTTCCGTCATCTGACTGAAAGGTGCGATGCCAGACCTTGGTGCATATTTGCTGATAAAGCTCTGCAAACACATCGCTAGGGTCGAAAGCTAACTCGAATCAATCAGTGAGTGTTTTCGCAAACACCTCGCTAGGGTCGAAAGCTAGCTCGAATCAATCAGTGAGTGTTTTGGCGTTTTGTGCCAATGGATGTACTTACGGTGCATGCGGGGAGAGTAGTGGTCGAGAATAAAGCTGGAGGCAATCACAGGAAGGGCAAATGTTTTGAAGTCTTCAAATGATGAAATACGGTTCAGGAAGTCCGATAAATGCAGCTCCAAGTCAGCGCCGATTGAATGTCGTGCACGTGACGCAGAAATGAAATTGAATGGGCCAGGCGATGAAGATATCAAGGTTGCAGCGTGATGAAGAAACGCAACAAGATGCTTCATTGAGTAGAGATACCTGGCTTTTATGCGTGTCTCCGTTGCACAATCTATAAGATCCGAAAGCTCATCTTGGAATTTATGCCACTGGCGATATATGTAGCATTGCTTGTGCCTAGGGCTCGAACGAGCTGACAGGCTCACTGCTCGGACTCCCTGAAAACGAGTAAGGAGATTTATGCTAGTCTCTGCTCTCACACCTCTTTCAAAATCCGCAATCATATGATCTCCACTTCTTCCTTCCTCTGCTACCAAAAAAAGCCATGGCAGTACTGAACTGCTTGATGCTCGCCCGTAATTAAGCCAAGCTGCCAGCTTCCGAGCCGCGAGATTCACCCCGCCGAGATCATCAAGGAAAAGGCACACGACATCAGCAAAGGGCAGGACGAGTCGATGATAGACCATATCGGCATGTTTACTAGTCCATTTCCCGCCGCCATCGCTGCAAGATAATGAGTAATCCGTCGCCTCATGACATCGCGATGGCGGGCTTCTGCTCTGCATTCTATTGTGGATCGGAAGATCACCTTCCGCAACAATGGTAGGCATGGAAAATTTTCCTTTCGGTGCAATAAATAGATGTACGTCGGCGTGGCCTCTTCGACCTCGCTCGCTGCGATAATTTATACCTAACTTTCGTACTGCTTCTGCTTTCTGCATATTGCCAATGAAGAGAACTAACGCTGACGACATCGAGCCTTCGGAGCCGAGCGCAGCTAAAAGCCGCGTTGGGCGATCCGAAACTTGCAAAGATACCTCATGGGTTTTTTCAGATAAGCGCAGCCAAGATGTGTGACTGCAAGGCATTGTTCACATGGTGCGAGAATATTTCAGCGGCATGCAGCCTTGTATTTATATCCTATTGTGTCCAAAAAGGTGAGGTTAGGTTAACAGCGGCCGATTATGGCCACAGTCGATTCGCAGCCATATATAGCTGCAATTTTCGTCAGGAAGCAATACGATACATACTGTATAGTACAGCAAATGTAAATAAGTACTTCTCTAGGGGATCCCTCTCAGTACAGTACAGCAAATGTAATTAGTACTTCTCTAGGGGATCCCTCTTGTGTGTGCGCGCACTGATACCACATATTTTATCTGAATGTCTAAAGGTGTTGTCGGGCATGATGCCAAAATTTTGCATTATTTACGAGTGCAGAGCATGCGGAAGGCTCAGGGCGAAAGCCAACCTGGTATCGAAAGAGTTGTTCGGTTGGCGACTGTTTCTGCTCAGGATAGGGAAGCCCAAGCGCATCTACATTGGCGACATATGCTCTCAATGCCGACCCCGGCGCCGTCTGCCAACGACAGCGAGGTTTGAACACTACCATTACGACCATCAACACGAAACATACTCTTATCCCCCGCCTCACCATTACGTCCATCAACAAGAAACATACTCTTATCCCCCGCCTGAGTATGTATCGGAAATTGCAGAGCTCCATAGTAGCCCGTGAGGACCACCGAGCGCGCATCTCAAGGCAATCACTCTGCTGCAAGGAGAACACGAGGCGTGTTGTGTGGTTACTATGGTTTCAATAGATATGAATTTGAATATAACATCAAAAATACCACTAATTGCCAAAGCTGTTACCCAATTCCCGAATTTGTTACTTAGAATAGTTGAAGCAACACTGCGACACGCCGCTTCGCTGCCTCCGAGTCATAACTGTTACCCAATTCTGTGACGGTACAAGGGCACGAACAAGGTCGAGTGCGACTTGGATAAAGCGATTGTTCACAAGGAGAGTCAGAGCTTCCGAAGGAAGCTCTGACTCGAGCTGTCTAAGTTCTAAAGTGGGGCTGTTCCCTTACAAATTCCCGAATTTGTTACTTACAATAGTTGAAACAACTCTGCGACACGCCGCTTCGCTGCCTCCGAGTCATACTTTAACAGCGAGCTACCATATTGAGGTGTGGTACTTACATTAAGTACTATAATATGGCAAGGTCTGTA